TGTTGACTGAAAAACAATCCTGATAAAAGAAACCATTATATAAAATGATCGGATGGCCATTCAGACACTCACCCCCCCCCCAAAAAAATAAAAAAAAAACAGATAGTAAGGAAATCCATATACCTATTTCTTAATAATCAATTCCGTGTTTCATTTTTTTGGATTTAATGTTTTATTGCAAATCGGAAATTCCAATTTCAAAATCTTAATCCAGATTTCCCAATCAACCCCACCCTTAGATTAGAAATAGCACATTATTGCTGTTTGTTAGCAGCATTGTTTTGAACAAGGTTATAGTCTGCTAGAAAATAGGTACTTTTTCAAGGATTATTTGCAACCCAGAGATCAATGATGCTTATCACATCATGCCGTTCCATTTTCTCAAGGATGGAACAAAGACATTTGAGGGTTCCAGAATTTTTCATGGAAGCAAAAATTTGCAAAAGAAGTCTGTAAGAGGGGCTTTTTCCACTTTGCCTCTGTTGTTGTTTAAGATGCCGGATTGTTACAGGTGTCTGATTCAACATACTTGCCAGCATTGTGTAATCTTTTCCATCTATGTCTCTTTCCTCATCAAGCAGTATACAAATGGCATTAATCAAAGAATCTGGTACATCATTTATGTGAGTTGAGTAACCTCTGTTACATCCACTTGACTGGATTGGTGGTTTGACCAAAGGGCAGCCAGCTGCCTGATTTACATCACTGATTCCTAGAAAGGTAACAAACACAAAACATGAAGGATGTGTAAGTAACATTTCATTTTGCTCTACATGTTGATAATAATCAATTTCTTATAACAGGTGATTTTGACTTTACATGGAATAGAGCATGTTATAAACTGTATTGTAACTGTAAAGCTTTCCACCATATACATACCTGATGTGCCACACAAATTTTGTTTGTAATTAATAATTAAAAGTAAAGGTTTATAATAGTAATTATTAGTACAGGTTTATTACAAATCACAAACTAACACCTGAAGGTGAATTATGTTGTGTTTACAAAATAAGGTAAAAGGTTTACAATTTCTTATTCTGGGTCTGGGTTGTAGACAATAATGCCAAAAATATTGAATGTATGTGAAAAAAGATTATTAAAATATATTGATACTAACATTAAACAGTACTATACATTAATGCTAAATATCACACTATGGTCTGATGCCATAGTAAAAGGGGTGCAAAAGTCCTATTAATTAAAGGGTGAGTTTATTAGCGAGAGCGGGAAAAAGCAACATTTATATATTAATTAGGATTTCTGTACTTAAACAACTAGACATAAATGCAAACATCCTAAACTGATCTTCTTAAAAAAAGAAAGCACGTCGGAAACCATGAATCTATCATAATGATCTGTATGGAATCCTAGAAAAATGTATTAATTCACTACTAAACCCATCCTCAAGCTTGGATTAATGAGTGTTCTTGCCCCATATACTTATACATATATACACATATACTTATACACATATACTTATACTTACCCAAGTCCAATTGGGCTGATAAATGTGACCCAGACATTTGTTCCGCATCACTTGGACTGAAAGCAACTACGGAATTAGGAACAGCATCATTCCTTGAAGAGGAACCTTGACCTCTGATAGCTGGAAGTCCAGTAGGTTGAGGGGAATCACGATGAAAGGAAACCAGCATTTTGTCAACAGTCACAGTTGTATGGGGTTCTTCATCATAATGATCAGTGTAAGAATGGTGTTGCTGACCTTTACAAATTAATAATAAAAGACAGTAAATCAAACAAAAAATAGGGAACTGTAATAAGTGAAAAAATCAAATCATTGTTTAAAATTTTGTGGAATACTGACAATATTTTTTGTCTTTAAGCTGATTCACTTAAAATTTACAAAGAAAATGTCATCAGGTGCTGCACATGGAAGGGAGAATAAAGCAATAAAAAATGTTTAATTCGTTCTTTTTGAGAGCTTAGGCCTAATATCCACATAAGGTCTGTAATTTTAAAAAAAATTAAAAACTTATAATGCTGGAGCTAAACATTGAAATCAAGAACTAGTTAATATGCTTTGATTCTGTAACATCATATTTATTATATGGCTAAGTCTGTTTCCACCCTGCAATTGGTCAATTTGCAGTCCACAACTTACAATGCAGACCAAAATTTCAAAAGCAAATGCTCATTTAGTTGCTCTAAATGTTTTTATCTCGAAAAAATGATTTAAAAAATTAGCATACACATGTATGTCTGTAAAACCTGAGGACCTGGATGTTGACTTTGTCCTTCCAGATTTTATCCTATGCATGTATATTTGTTTTGAGAACAAAGCTGATGAAGAAACTGAATCGTAATCTTACCAAAGAAGAGGACTCTGGTCAGTGATTGAAAACTTTTTGGAGGTCACAGATAAGAAGACATTAGAATTGGACTGGCAGAGATTGAAGATGTTTTTCACAAGAAATATGAGCAATTTCTTCGACAATGATACTAACAAACCTTTCTGCACTCAATCATCTTGACAAGCTTCTTTGCTGTTTGCAATGTTTTCCTCAAAGCCCAACCAAAGAAAGATGGAAGTGAAATCGAGCCTGACACAGTATCCAGTTTTCAAAACAGTCCAGGCTAGTGTTACACTGGTTAACTAAAACTTAAAGTGCTCTTTTTCTCAACATGGGCACATTTGCATTTTGATCTCACTTTCAATGGAAATTAACCTTTGTAATGCATGTGCTTTTGTTTTCGTGTGTCCAGCACTTGTTTCTGGTTCCCCCAAACAGGAAGCCATAAAAAACATCTTATTAGCCCTGTTTTCTTTGTCTATACTAGCTGTTAAATTGTATAATAATAAATTGTATAATTTATTTTAATAAATTGATGGAAAAAAACTTGATCTTGACCTCTAATTCAGGTAATAACTGTTGGTATCAGGTTGTTGAGTTTAAAGTAAAGCTGAGGTATTTAAAAAAGTATTTTGTACACAGCAATTGGCAAATTATTGAATTTCCAGCAGCACTTTCTTAAAATATGAAACTGTGGCATTCTACCAAATGGCTTCAATGCACTTTAATTATTAATGTTTATACCTACTGCCAAATTTTTGTGCGGACTAGTGACTTACCATCTAAACAAGGTTCCTTTTTATCTTCTTCTTCAGAAGGTATTTGTTTTCTTGGTCTTTGACCTATCCAACAAAATTTTATTCATTAACAAATCGTTGGAGTATTAAGGTGGCTAGACTGGATTTTTTTGGGGGGGATACCTCCTAAGTTTGAGCATTAACTACTACGCCATGAGTAAAGATATGGGAAAAAGATTACCACAACTGTATTATATGAAGGTGAAAATTTCTTATGATTTGGGTTTTATTACAATGCCAGTGAATAATGAGGACGCTTACTTGTAAACACAAAACCTGGGGGGGAAATTGGTTATATTTGAGGCCCTATTTAAAAGCCTTCTCTGTTTTCAATGTTCTTGAAACTTGCAGGGTATATTTATTGGCAATTGATCTCAGGATTGTCAAATTTATTAAAAAATTTATCAAGCGGTTTTTTAAAAAAATGCGAAAATTGTAGGCATGGACCAAATTATGTGCAAAAACTGTAACAAAAGCAGCTGAATGCAAATTACTAAAATTCTTCTTACTCACGATCGCCCAGAGCAATTTCCCTCTTTTCTTGTACACAGTTTTCAATGGAATCAAACAACTATGAGATGAAGCCACGTTTCCAAAGCTTATCATTTTCTTAAAAATTAAGCTAATTGTGTGGATAGCTTGCTATTTCACTGTTTTTATGATGCTTAAAACTTTGTTTCAAAATATCTCGAAAACGCTCTCATAGAATTTGTTCAAACTTTTCCATAATTGAGGCAATTATGGCATGTACAAACTCCGTTAAGCGATTTCTTTAAAAAAAACTCCCGGTACAGAGAAACACAAAGATAAATAACAAACGTAATGGCGTTGTTACGTTGCCATGGCGACTCCGATTGCAATAAAACCCAGATCTTAAGAAATTTTCATCTTTATATAATACAGTTGTGGTCATCTTTTTCCCATATCTTTACTTGTGGCGACGTAGTTAATGCTCAAACTTGGGAGGTATCCCCTCAAAAAAATCCAGTCAAGCCACCTTAATTGGATGACAGGAAGATGGTAATATCCTGCTTTATTTTCATGTTTGCTGCAAATTTCCCAAACTTACATCCAGATTTAGACTGATCTTTTCAACCCTTTGCCTCCTAAACATGATAAATAAAAAACTGGCTATGCCTTACCTTTACTTCTTGGTTCATTGTCAAGGGATGTTGGAATTCCTCTCTCTATCTGTACATTGACTCCTTGCCCTTCTTGATCGGCACTAGATGGCCGATTTTTGGAAAAATCTGTAGTTTCACCTGTTTTATCATTTTCCAAGGGTACTGATGGTATTTCATATGGGTCTTCAGTGCCCTGCAGCAGTGGTATAATGACACTACCAGTCACGCTAGATTCTCCGTCATCATTTTCTGTGCCTTCTTCCATATCATTTTGGCTGGCTCCGACTGATTTCTTTGACTTGTACTTTTTGAAAAAATACTTAACTACACAGCCCACAATCAGGACAAACATCCCCAAAACAATAAATATGAATAAGGAAACTAAAATAGTCACTATGACACTATGATGGGAAATTTGTCTAGAATGTTCTGGAGTGCTTAAGGATGTAGCCTTAATCTGCACTGTTTTTGACACAGTCATCCTCTCCAGTAAAGGTGTGGCAGTTGGGTGTAAGGAAGACTGTTTCATAAGGGATGAAGATGTTACAACAACCACAGATGAATGGTGTTCAATTGGCTTGGATACATCACTGATAGTGGATGACACCGATAAGGAAAAACACGCCTTGGTCCAAGGTATTTGAAATTTGCATTTCTTTGCAATTTCACCTTCATCACCTCTGCATCTCTTGGCAATTTTCCAATCATCTGTACAGCATAAAACACAGGGTAGGCATTCCTTGGTGGTCCTGTTGCGATAATACCCATCTTCACATTCACACTTGACATTGCGTTCAGGACTGCAGTTTTCAAGGACATGTTCATGTTTGCCTGCACAAGTTGCACATGGTTGACACTGCTCACTGCCAGAACTGTCTGAAAAATTAACTCCTCTTGTACAGGCAACACAAACAATATCTTCGTCACGTGACACAGTGGTCCCACATGCTACAGATAAACCATACCCCATGTAACATTCACTGCATGGCCAACACGCATCACACTTGCCAGGAACTCTTCTGGTGATCTGCTCTTCTGTACAATTTGAGCAAAGTTGGTCTTCGCATTTGGCCACTAACAGCTATGATTGATTGACAAAAAACAACAAGCTCATGAGTATAATTATAATGACTGAAAACATTAATTTAATTAGCATTAACCAGAAACCCATAAGGGGTTGAAACGTGTAACTCGCATTCAATGCTTGTGAATATTCACTTTTACCATTATTTGGAAACCTTACTGACGGATATCCATTTTCAACAAAATGGCTGCTGCGCGATCACCATGCAGATGTTTAAGACAAGAGTTCTGCATTTCAAGGTTAACAAGAACGCTCTTAGTAGCATTGAGTCTCGCTTGCTTGGAGATGAGTTTTAATGTCAAAGGCCCCGGTGCCTTTATACTACTTTATACTACAAAACGAGTGTTGTATGTCATAATGTATATACTCAAAAAGTAAAAATTGCAAGGAGAGACAGGCTGCACATCTTAGCCTCAAACCAGTGTGAAACCTTTGAAAACCTTCTACATATTGATATTGCTCCATTGAGGAGTACTCTTTCAGGGATTCTACGCTCGAAAAATTGAACAATAATTTTTATTGGTATCAGGGGCCCATGACTGTCAGTATAAATATACATAGCTTCTTTGTACCGGACCAAGATACGGCTCGGTACAGTATATGTTCAGCACAGGAAAAAAGTGTAAGTTGAACAGAACCTTGACTCTGTCAGTATAAATATACATAGCTTCTTTGTACCGGACCAAGATACGGCTCGGTACAGTATATGTTCAGCACAGGAAAAAAGTGTAAGTTGAACAGAACCTTATAGAACACACAGTTAATTCAGTTCGCGCGTATTCCTGCTGAATTTGTTGTCCGTTTTATAAGATATCCATATCGCATGAAAGTAATGATATTTTCCATAGCTGCTTAGTATCTACTTTTAATATCTCCGTACAGTCTCAGAGTACAATGTTTAGTACAATGTACACAGCATTGTACAATGTACACAGCATGCATTTTAGATAGATATAGAGAGAGAGAGAGAGAGAGAGAGAGAGAGAGAGAGATAGGTAGATAGATAGGTAGGTAGGTAGGTAGGTAGGGGGGTAGGTAAGAACCTTAGTTTATGGCATGATAAAAAGATCAGCATTGCTGGTGGGATCGTGCATACAACAATTACAAGAAAAATAAGGAGTACTGAAAACAAATGTACACTTAAAAATTAAAAACTGTTAAAAGTTTTTTCTTGTATTACAGTATCACCAGAAAAAAGCGTTTCATTTTCCCGGAAAATTTCACTTTCTCGTCAAAACAATCACTGACTCAGACAGACTCGGATTAGTTTACTTGAATTTAGCATTCAGTACAGCGAACGGGGTTATGTTCTGTGAAATTTGTCTACAGTCTGCGGCCCACATCATCACTGATCCACGATTTATTTATTTATTTTATTTTCAAGTTCTTTTTATCCGATCCTTGATCCCTGATTTCTCGATCCTCGATCCTGATTTTCCAGTAAACCTTGAAGTTTTGCTCATTAAGATTATTCTCTTTTTTTCGTCCACTGAAGTGATCAGTTGTTCCAAAATAATCAACGCTTTCAAGCCATAGAATTCTTGGACCAACCCGTTCCAGAAAAGCTCGATATGGGATTTCTATTAACTATGGACATGAGGTGCTGCAAGTAGACTGTGCGGTTGGTCAAGTTCAAAGCTACCCGTATAAACATATCCGTGACACGTTAGGGTGGATTTCCACTGATGCGTTTTTGGCTCCGCACGTTAACTTAGTAAATTTTAATCACGTAAATAAAATAGAGGTAAGACATAAAGTATTGAGATTAAACGTCAAGTTAAGCAAGTTTCTACTTTTATGCTTACATAATTGTACGTGCAGCCTTTCATACACTGCTTTTTATTTGCGAATGCAAATTTTACGCACGTGCACACGTAAAAATTACATGACAGTGGATACCTCATATCTCAAGTATTTATAAAGTGCAACACGACTTCACATCGTAACAACTGCGAAAATCTATCAATTAAATACATAAAACAAAGTGAATCTATTTAACTGTACATTTCCTGTAACTGCAACAATATTCTGAGAAACGTAACGCCTTAAAAAGCCACAAAATCCTGAGGATTTCCCCGATATAATATTTTCTCATCCTGCTTGGGGATGCGCCTGCATGTCGTGTATAATTACACGAAAATCAAGGGCCTCCATTCGAGGAAAATTACGTCATCGCCAAACTTACATGCGTCATTTCAGTCATCGCTGAAATAAACTGCATTCTCATCACGAGACTCATTTCCATACAATGAAAGTCGTCACGATTCTTATCCCCAGTTTCCACAGTCTTTAAGAGTTTCGCTTTGCTCAAGCAAGCGAGACTAAAAATACACTGTTAAAAGAAAAAATGGAAAGAGAAAGTTCAAAAGAATGCTCAGCTTTCTTTTTGTGGAGAAAGGGAAGCTTTTCATCAAGAAATCGTCCTTCGAGGAATTCAACCTTGTTTTCTTCACGGCAGAGCCCATGGTCTGTTTTGAAATGCAATTAAGTCAGCGAAGTTTTTGCTGAATTTTCAGGTACATTTTGCACTCTATGGCCAAGACAATTACGTTTTTGAAAGGGAATTTATGTATTTTTAAATGTTTCATAGACGTTTTATAAATTTTTCTCCTCGGCACTAAAGAAAAATTACAAAATGTGCCCTGATATGAGATGGATTTTGTGTTGAATTTTGCCATGTGCTTAGCCGATTTCACTTGCGTGAATGGATCCACAATCCAGATAGTGTTTTCCGAATTGCTTTAAAGGATTAACTTTTTGGACTTTGAATAAAAATTTTCAAGAAACAGCTTCTCTGTCTGTTGTTTTGAGTTTGTTCATTCATAAAATTAGCTCAAAACACGATCGTGACTACAGCATCCAAGTTTAATTTAAGCTTTTAAAATGCTTCTCACATTCATTACAAGCATCACTTTTTGCGAAGATGTCAGCTTCAGGTTTTGGACACTTTTCAATATGCAGCTAATGAATTTTATTCAAAAATATTTTTCACTGTTTATTCTAGACCTTTAACATAAGAATTTTAAAAGCCTATTTGCAGTATAAGTTTACTGTGCAGATGGTCAACGAGGCATCGTGTTTTGAAGTTACAACTTCAAGAAGTTGCGAGGCCGTCAATGGGTTTCGTAATGTTGCGTTTGGCCCGGGTGATAAGGCAATAATATCCTGCTCAGTGTTTCGGTAATATTCCTGGTTTCAACCTTTGAAAACTTTCTCGGCTTTCGGGAGTTTTTCCCCTGTTTGTCGGCCATTTTTTTAAGTGGGCGCGGGAACCTGAAGGAAAATTACGTCACGTTGTTTACAAAGTTTGATTGGTCAGTTATCTCTCCTTCTCGTTCCAAATATGGCACTTTCGAAAATGAATAATCACAGGCATCAGACAAAGCAAACATATGAGAGTTACACGTTTCAACCCCTTATGAGTTTCTGCATTAACGTATATGAGATATGTCCAGAAATGCACGCAATTGCCATTTCTGCCATCCAAATTCGTCATTTTTGCCAAAATCAACAATTTCTCCAAAATCGCCACTCTCCAAGGGGCCACTTTCCGCGTCCAATTTGAATCACCAGTCCTCTGTCCATTTTTTGGCATTTTCGCCATTGCATACATTTAATTGAGAACATACAAGCATTACTTTATAGTGGTAAAGTACATAGCAGGTTTTTAGATGCACAAAGCACACATCAGTCTTTGATCGACTTAGTGATCATGAGAAGGTCATCTCCTGAATTGCATCCGCGGAATAGGCAAATTCGCACAGTTTCTTTCTGGCTACTTCTTTACGATTGCTCGTGAAATTTTTGCATTTGACTGTAAAAGATACTGGATGTAATGGAGGCCTGCAAAGTATAACCTCCTTTTCACGAGGATCTAAAGAAATACAGTTGACTCCTGATAACTTGAACCTTCTCGGGAAATCGAAAAATGTTCAAACGGGTCGAGTTTGAATCAAATAACCGGAAATAGGAAAAATAGGCAAATGGGTGGGGAGGGAATGCAATTATACAACAAAGTATGCAGGAATGGACACTGAATTTGAACTGGAGTGACAAAAAAGTAAAGACAAAGAATTTACTTGGTTGCTTTAAAATAAATTCAATGTCTCGGACTTCAGTACATGGTTTTTTTCCTGACTTGTCACGCGCTTATAACATGGTTCGAGTTATCAAGGGTAAAATTATATAGAAACGATCTGAAGGGAAACACGAGTTAGAGGCAGGTTCGAGTTATCAAGGTTTCCAGTTACCGAAAGTAAAATTACAGTAAATGTATGAAGAAAATCCAGAGGAAATCGACTCCGGTTCAAGTTAGCGAGGGTTCAAGTTATCGGGAGTCAACTGTAGAACAAGAACTGGAAGCAAAACCGTCAGCCATCTTTACGTTTAGGGAAATGCCGTGTACATGAGGGTGTTGAATTACTGCTGACTTGCAGTACTATTGAAACAAATATGGGATCTTGTGGATTTTCTAATACGGTCATGTATGAATCATTTACATTATTTCTAACTAATATGGTTTTGGCAGGCCATACAGACTTAAAGTAAATGTTGGTTCTTCCATGCGTTCACTTTCGCCGTAAGCATATTCAAGACATTTAAATATGTTTGAAACATTGCCTTTATCTTCACAATTCGAGTACAATATCAGTGGGACAAGAAAAGAAAACAAAAAAAAAAGAGTACAGTTACAGGTACGTGGTGGAAAATATATTGGTTCTAGTTGTTGTATATTGATTCTCCTTTAACAGTCATTCGCAAATAGCACAAGAGTTAAGCCTCAAGTTTTACTAACAAATATACCCAAGTCTTTTTTCTTTTGAGGCATTTCCTTCCAGTTTTTGTGCATAAAAGTTAGACATATTTCTTTAATAAAGTAATGGAGCAATTTACTTTGTAGCCAAAGAGTAATAAAGAGATCTGACATATACTTTTGGTGTCTAAGTTATTTATATGTGTATTTAGCAAAACATGTGCTTTTATGAACTGGCGTAAATTGGCCACTGCAGAGAGGTTTGAGCACTAAACCCTGTCAGTTGAAAAAAAAAATTCATGTTGTTCCCCATTGAAGCTGAGCACTTCACTATCTTGATAAACTAACCAAGGAATATTGTTAATAAGCATGAAGTATATTTGAAGTATATTTCAAGTATACTTTAAGTATACTTCTTGGAAGTACACCTACAGTATGCTTCTTGTGAAGTATACTTCAAGTATACTTTTTAATTGACCAAAAGTACTGTACTTCAAGTACCAATGATGTATACTTTTTTAAGGGTTTAAAAGTATACTTAAAGTATACTGAATTCCTACAAGGGTAGTGACATGCCTTACTATGTCCCAGCCAGAGGAGTGCAGAGTTTACAGACACTGGAGCATAATTAGCAACATTTTTTTGTACTATTAAAGGATATTTCTACACTAAACCAGATAGCTCTTGCACTGGCATGAAAATCACATGGGATAGGGCTTTATTTCACACATAAAAACAGTGATTTTGGAGAGGTTTTTGTAGCAGGTGGTGTGATCAGGTGTTCATAACAGGCCATCAGGCCAGGCCAGATTCAAGTTAACAGTGATAAGCTATCTGGTACAGTGTAGACTGACATAGTCTAATAGTCATTAGAAAATTCAAATTGTACTTTCAAGGTGCCACCTTAGCTAAGCTAGGAAAAGAAAAAGAAAAAGTAAAATAAAATAAATAAATAAATAAAAGGAAAAAAATAAGAAAAAGAAAAAAAGAAATAAGCTTAACGGTGAATGACACTTTTCATATAAGCCTACAAATTCTATTTGCATGAATACACCTACATGGTTACTAAAATATAGCTTTTGGTAGTTCAGAGGACTCATAAAAGCAGACCTGCCCACCCATGATAATCATAAAAGAAAATCAGGAGACTTTCGAAAAAATCTGGAGATTCTACAAAAATAGTGAGACGCTATTTTTTCCCGATCAGGTTAAATGAACCCTTCTTCCACTCGTCAATTTCTGTACTAGAACTACGTAGAAGCCTTTAAACGGTAAACAGAAGGGCAAATTCCACAGTTCGGTAAGTAAAGTGTTTACACCTGATTGCAATAATGTTGTCATAGAAAAAAAAACAAAAAGCAAAAAAGCCAAATAGGAATAAATTAGCCATGTGATTTACATTTGTGTATTTTAATTCAGTATTTAACAATTATTTAAGAATTCATTCACAATAGCAAGAGATCATTCTGTAATTCCGTGCTGTAAGATAGACAGGCGCCATAGTCATTTTAGAGCAAACATTCTCCATCAAAAGAAGTCGGACAATTCGAGAAAGAAAAAGGTAAATTGACACGAGCAATGTTATGTCTCAGTTGTCACACGTTCAGTTGCCAATCTATTATGTCCTGACAAACGAAGCTTGGTTTGTGGCTCAGGTGAGGAACTGGCGGAGGACCCCCTCACCCTCTCCACAATGAAAAGTCTTGCCTACGCCTCTGATTTGTTGCTTGAAAACTGTGATCAGATGGTATTGTGCACTGCAAACCATATGCAGACTGGCTTTTCTATTTAGCACTAATCTAAAACACATGTTGAGTTCCTGGAATTTACTCCAGGCTATATTTATTGAAAAAAAATGAAGCCATTATTTCTTTGGTAGTTATCCGATGTGCTTTGTGATTCGAGCACGTTTGAAATTCGCTAGATGATTCAGCCTTGAATTGCATGAGAATGACAGTAAGAAACTGATGCAAATGACTTCTCTCATATTATGTGATTAATATTCAGGTGTAAGCGTGTGTGTTGTGAATGTTGCAAGCTATGATAATTACATGCTAATTAATTCCTATTTAACTTTTTGCTTTTTGCTTTTTTCTATGACAACCTTATTGCAATTAGGTGTATTCTTATTTGCTTATCATTTAAGTTTATGGCACTGACATTATACATCTAGTTTCCATTTTTATTCTACAATGTAACATTTCATTTTGAACTGACTTTTCACTAAAAACAGTGAGATTTGAGACCTTGAGGTAAAATAAAAAATTGTGAGGCTTAAGGCAGAATCACGAGAGATGGCAGGTCTGTAAAAGTATAACAAACTGCAATAATTATTACGGCACTAAACAGGCTCTCGTTTTGTTATGTAATCGAATATGGTAATGGTAAAATTGCATCATTCTGCAAAGTCAGGGAGTTTATGCTTACAAAGCAAAAAAAGGTCATCTTACATAATATTCCTAGTTTCGACAGTTTTGAGGTGTGGTATTTTAGAAGGTTTCTCTTTCACCAAAATCACTCTTGTAGATTTATAGGAGACAGCAAATTTGAAAGTGTCCTAAGTAGAGATAGATCGGTTTCTGACTGCGACAAACGTCTGAATGTACATGTTTTATCGGGATGTCTGCGATAGCGAAGTGTTGGCAAGGCGACAGTTGACCGTAGTTCAATCTGTTTACCAGTCATATGCTATATTAATGGAGGTGTTGATACAGATGTGAGAAAAAAACCTTACCAGTATCGAAGTCATGATGAATATCCCGCCATAATTAATTGCGACACAAGGAGTCATTGCCTTGAATTGTTGAAAATCCCTGCAAGTAAAAGATAGAGCAAGGTACTGAAACTATTTTGGCCATGGCGTAAGAGGATGGCAACGTTTCAACACGAACCTTATTAAGTTGAAGAAATTTCCACAGGCAGCACAAGCACGTACTTAGCGCGTCTTGATATTTCGTAAAGTTGCCTTGGCACGTCTCTTTAACTGCGTCAATAACGTGCATTTTAATGCTGAGGGGAATCCCCGGACCGGCGTGGCCGTGCAGAGTTGCACGGAGCCGAAGTCGCAGACACGTAATCATAGTATTTAGGTAGATGGAGATTTCAACTTCATCCTTTTTTGTCAGAGCCAAGGCCAGACCTGCTAAATTCACTGTAAATTGCCTGCGTACAGCCGCCCCGCTGTACATAACAGGCTAGGACGACGGTGCACGTGATCGATTTTTCATAAATTCAGAAAATTCTCTTTTTTGGGTAGTAAAAATTCTTAAATACGTCCACTATAGCTCTTGTAAAGGCTTAAAAATGGCGGCGTAGTACGTTTATGCACGAAAGCGAGGCTTCTCGGCGCAGGTAACCCAACCCAGGTTAATTAGCTGAGCCCCTGAGCTGCTAAGTGATTATTCATAAGGCGTTTTATGAGAATTATCCTATTTCCCTATAATTGAGCGAAATGTGCTTTAAATTACTCCTTTTAAACTTACATTAAGTATTTTCTTGTGTTCATTTGTGTGCCGACTGCGTTTCAGGCCTCTTAGGATGCCAAGACCTCGTCAGAAAAACTTCGCTAATAAGGGCCTGTTTACATGGAGTGGGGGAGCCCGGTCTAGTGGGGTAAGTTTCTTTTGTTTTCACGCTCTGGGAGACACAAAACAAAAGAAACTTACCCCACTAGACTGGGGTCCCCCACTCCATGTAAACAGGGTCTAAGTTGGGCTCCTCGCTAATTTTAAATTATTCTGATACAGCAAGAAATTTGGACAATATTCTTTGCTCACTAAATTAGCAAAATGTACAATTAATATCGCTTTGAAGCTTACCGTTAGCGTTTTCTTAAAAATAAAAGAACTAAGAAGGGTTTGCCAACTTTCCTTTCTTTTCTCTCTTCGCTCATCTGGGTGAAAAAAGTAGGCATTAATAAAGGGACCTGTCATTTATTAGAGGGGGGGAGGCGGCTGGTGCAATTCTTTTTTCCCAGGTGAATTTTTTTATGCCCTCCTCCAATTTCCTGCAGAAAAAAATGTAACCCTCCCCTTTGTAAGGCCCAAAATAGTTAAGTTTTGACCGTCCCCAAGCTAAAAGATATGACAGGGATTCATATTCAGAAAAGAGATCAACTTTTACCTTGTGATGAAAGGAGGCGCAAATACGACATTCAGGAACAGGTATCTAAGATCACCTCACGCATTGACGCAATATTGAGGACGAAAAATCCTTGTGCTGCTGGAAAATTTTACACGACCGATTATGTTCTTGCAGGAGCCGATTAATCGGCTCCTGGTTCTTGTCCCAGCTGATCAGTTAATACTGAGGGCGAACATTATGAAGCTCAGTGAGTTACTAGAGAACATATCAGATATGGATAGATGCATTAAAGCTCACCTTAACACCCTGTTTCACTTAAAGACTGGTAATTTGATACGAGGAGAAGAGTATTCTAAATCTTTTGATGAAGATGTTATTGCAAGGCTTGATGAAGCTTTCAGTTAGACAGGTCAGGTGGCTGACAAAAATAGCAAAGAATGGTCACTTGACAGAAAGAGCCATTACAACAGCACAAGACTATCTAGATGGTTTTATGGAAGAAAGTAAGGAAGAACTGGATACAGATGAAAGTCTCTCTAGGGAAGATAGTAGGACAGCTTGACAGAGAATGAGGAGTGTGGTGACTAAACCAAATATTGTGATGCTCCACTAAGGGGTTTAATGTGGGCTGGATTAATTTATACTCTTTCAATATTTAATATGTGTTAATTGGTTGGTTCTCACAGAAAATCTTCAAGAACGTTTAGTTATAAAATGTTTTGTTTTATATGTAAAGACCGCTTTTGTGCAACAGTTGACAAACATTTAGGGTTGATCATTATTAAAGTTTAAACTGCTTACTGTGCAAGGGACTTGTTTGTTGAATAATATATTTTGTTGTTTATTTATTTTTATTTTAAGTGAACAGCAATGTTTGCTAAAAATGGTATGGCTCTCCCCAAAGCCCAGCTTAAATTTTTGGTGACCCTCCCTTTTTTTGGCTACATAAAATTTAATGACCCTCCCCCAATTTGCACCAGCCCCCCCCTCTAATAAATGACAGGCCCCAAAGAGTGCCTCTGAGACCTGAAACGCAGTTAAAACACAAAGATAAAAAGGATTTTTAGGGATTTTTAGATTTGGTGCTTTTTCCCAAATCGCAGAAATCGCGAAATTAAGTGAGAATATAAGGCGTTAGCATGACTAGGTAGCCTCCCACGCTGGATAGAGATTTATCAACTGAATAGCCACTATCCATGCACCTTAGGGACTGTGCAATAATTATATGGAGGGGGGGGGTTCTAAGATTAATAGGGGGGGCCTGAACTTAAACCAAAGCGCAGGGTAGGGGGGGTAAGATGTAATTTCTTAAACATTTGTAGGGGGGGTTAGAAGTTAAACTGAGAGGTCTGATCTCAATCCATGGACTCAAGATAATGTATATTACATGTAAGCTAATCAAAATCAATTTTTGGAATCTTTTAAGAAATATTAATATTAACAGCTTCAAAACCTTGTACTAAAAATGAACAGTTTATCTCAACAATATTAAACATATATTCAAGAACTTGAGTTAAATCCCGAGTTGGTTTTGAACAAGCACTTCCGCTTCCCCAACGAAGCATTTACAGGAAAGCAAGTCCCTCATGACTCGGCGCAGAACGAGGCAGAACGCACTAATGCTGCAATTGGAGAAGCTCTTACGACAGGAAGTCCGGTCGCCCCACCCAATGACCCTTTTCATGGGCTTCCTACTGCAGAATTGGAAAGAATGTGCTTGAAAGACATAGAACAACACTGCATTGCCTGGGAGGAAGCAAATACTTGGTCAATGGCCAACCAAATTGCACAGCGCATTCATGACGAATCGGGTCCTGGAAAGAATGACTTCCTGATCTCCCTTGCCAGCTACCATCCGGAAAGTCACATCCTGCTTCATCTCTCGAAGTACCTTCTTAAATGGAGGAAGGCTTCTCCACAGCAACGACACAAAATATGCGGGAACGGAGTTTTTTCAAAGCTTCAAAAGATGAAAGATGCCCATGTGAAGCAAGGACAATACTACCTTGAGTACTTGAAGTTTTCATGTGACCCAACCTGCGATGAATGCGAGGAAGAAGGTTGGACAGGTGGCATTCCCATTACACGATCTCCATTGCCAGCCCTTGATCCGTCCTCGCCAGGAAAGTATCTCCCAGTTGATGAACCTCGTTTGGCTCCAAGCGAGGTTGACAGTATCCTTCCTAGTGTACAAGTGAAGAAGATGTTTGTTGAAAAGAAAGTGACCTCTTCTGATAACCAGGCCATACGGCAAGCATGCTTAAAGCTTAACATCGACGAAAGTTCTTGCAGAAGATATCTTCAGCACCTTGAATTCTTGGCTCTAAAAGCAGACAAAAGAAATCTGGAAAGAAACACCATTCCAGAAGATATTTGTTGGGAGAGCAGAGACGATGTTGAAAGACTGACTAACAAGCAACTTCGGCTCTATCTAAGGCAAGAAGGTCTAATGGTATCTGGAAACAAGGCACAGTTAGTTGAGCGAATACTTAAGCATGCAGATGGTTCTGTAGCAAGAACATTTGATGAAGACATCGAAGATGATGATGAAAACATGCCCTCCAGTTCTCATGATGATACCTCAAGTGATTCTGAGGAGGAGTCAACCGAGTATGAAGGTGGTTCATCAGGCGACGGTTATGTGGAGCGCAGCTTCCAAGTTTTATTTATTGATGATGCAGACATACCAGAAGTAGTGTAAAGGTAAAGAGGGATGTAGGGAGGATCGGAGGTTGGGGAGGGGGGGTTGAAAGTAATCTCCCCTCTAGACGGGGGTGGACAAGAAGTTATTTTAACTTTAATTCAGGGGGGTGCAACTTTATTTTAAGGCCTACTTTGCTAATTTTAGAACCCCCCCCCCCTCCAGATAATTATTGCACAGTCCCTTATGAACAACCTGGCCCAAGAGAAAAAACGAAATTGGCAAAATTGAAATTGGGTTACAAAAAAGTGTAATTGATTGAGGTATATACAAAAATATGCCAAAGCGTCGCAAATAAAAATAAAAAGGGATACTTTTTAAAAAGGGGAGGGAAATCTCTCATTTCGGTTAGTTAGAAAGACCAAAATGGGCTAACAGATGCATTCAATTGCTGGAAAAAACTCGGAAAAAAAAGTGGCTGGAAAAAATTGGGGGCCTATACAAAGTATATAAAATATTTGCAAGTCCACGGCAACAAACCAGTGAGTGGTGTCCGCGCGATCTCCCAGTTGCAGACCTGGATCAGTACAATTAACTGGTAGAAAAATATGAGACGGCAAACTGATCTTTGACATCCTTACGGCAAGGCGATGAAGAAGTAGACAAAAGAATAAAGCAAAAAATAGATATTTAAACAAATTGTCCAATATTTTTTGTTTTCTTTTTCATCGCCTTGCCGTAAGGATCAGTTTGCCGTTTCATATTTTTCTATATGGTGGTAGCGTGTTCACAGACCCTTTATTTTCTCTCCAAAGTCGTGGTCCGTAGAGCGTGGGTGATAATAATATAAACCGCAGGGGATTTATTCAGTTGACCGCCAGCGCAAGGGGGTAGTGGTGGGGAAGAAGAAAATAGAAGCGTGCTCGCTTTGCTCGCCAATGTTTTCGAAAAGAACGAAAAGAAAAATAAAACAACTTCTGTGTACAGGCTAATACGGAGAGGCTCCGCCCGAAAGGAGTGCCTTTTTCAGAGTTCAGGTATATGAAAGGGTAGGGATTTCACTAGTTAAAGTATATAAAAGGGTAGGGAAATCTGTCGTTTGGGTCTGTGAAAGACTAATATAGGCAACAGGGCTAACAGATGAATTTTATGGCTTTATAAAGTCGAGAAAACGTTCTCTTTTTGTGATTGATACCTATTTAAAGGACAGTGTGTTTACAGCAGTTAAAAGGGATGCAAAGTTCAAAGCAAGGTATGTGAAAGGGGTACCATTTGTCAATAGAAGGTATACCAAAGGGGTACCTTTTTCGGAAAGGTTTTCGTGAAAAATGGTACGTAAAAGCTAAGGGGTTGGACCTAGCGGCGGAAGTAGACCTGCACCGTACCGCGCTCCGTCGGGGCGGAGCCTCCCCGTATAAACATTTGTTGAGTACCTCCCCTGGGGGGTCTACGTTTTCGAGGTTTGTGGTGTATTTGTTTTCTAGACACTTGAGGTCAAGTGTACGTTTTTTTTTCCATGACTGTGGCATGGTGTTTTTTTTTGCGATGTTCATACATATACCTCTCAGCCAACCGTCTGCTCCTCTTCTTTTTGCTTTACCAGCGGTTGTCCGTTTATGATTGGCCTGAGGAGGCTTGAGCCGAACCAATCAGCTGGGGAGCTAGAGATGAGCAACAACTGCACGAAGCGGGCTGATCAAATAAAATCTCAATGAAAGTATGCTTCGACTACATGACTCACCATCTTGCCATCACATTTACCTGTTCTCAAAGAACCTTGAGGGCTAAATAATGCTGCTGCTAGCAGAAGCCGGACGCTCTCTGAACAAGGATTTGACGAGCCTCTTCAAACACAACATTCATACACCACGAGTTCTTGAACGGCTTGTTCACGAACTTCACAGCGACAAAGAGCTATGTAGTTATTTATTTCTTAATCATCCCGGCTCGGAGGACATGCTATGGGGTCTCATGAATCTTCTAACAGAAGATTCCCGGTGAGTTTACCTTTACAGCTTTTGTTTATGTCTATACATCATGATCAGACAGCTGCCACCCAGGGAATTTATACACGGTTGTAAAATTGTCAAGTTATAAGCTTATCGTTTCCAAACAATCGCAGGACAAAACTCGAGGAAAAAAGCGGCGTGTTGCGAAGGTGATGTTAATGAGAAGATAAGTTAGCCTTTGTTGTTGCCGTGTTTTTGTTTTGAATACGAGAAGAAAACAGCTGCGTTAAGTTGTAGGGAAGGTGACAAATTGTCCTTTTGTTCACTCTCCGATCCAGGATACTCATTTATAACGTTATGGAAAATCAATTTGTCCGACTAGGCGATAAAAAGAGGACATTTCTTCGCAGGAAATATGCTAACCATTTGCTTCGTTTGAATTAACATTAAGCTTAAACAAATAACTTTTCGAGGTAAGGAAATTAATGGAAAGACCAAAATGTATCACAATGAGGTCGTTTTAAGCTTTTTACAAATATGATAATTAAGGAAATGAGATTGTCAGCCAAAACCGGCTATATTACTCCAAATATTGTCCGGCCATTTATAACGACTCTTTTTCCTGTGTCATCCCAAACCTGTTAACTTGAGCTCAGGCTTAATTTTTTCGTATTATCTGTGAAATTTTCCTTGTAGAGGCTCTAGACGTCATTGTATTTACTTTTCCTTATCCAATATTTCCGCAAGCTGTAGGGGGAACGCATTTTAAGCTTACATTTGCACAACTAGATTTACATGTCTAGATAACGTCAGTTTGTGAGGAAGCAATTATCGCTTTGGAGCGTTTTAACAAAGTTTGTTGTCATTTCTTGAGTTGTCTCGTCTCAGCTAAAAGGTTTTTCTTTCATTCATGTTAAGGGAGGTGATAATGATTGTTGTCATAAACACCTTGGTTGTAATAAGTGTAACCCATTATGTTTTGAACATTTAAGTGACTCTTAAAATGAAATGGAATAACATTTAGGGAATGAGGGATTCAGGAAATCAAGTATATCTTTTAAGAGCACAGTTTTATTTCAAGAATTTTTTCTTTTGTTTTTTCCTTTTGTGAATAATAATAATTGAAAGTCATATTCATTTGTCTGCTTGATTTTTATACCTCTATCTTTACAAACTAGTAGTAACATCTCACAATGACAAATCTTAGTTGAGAGGAAGCTTTTATGTGTTAATATTCACTTTAGCTTTTGTTTTGTTAATAATAATTTTTTTCTTTGAGTTTTGATTTTATGATAACAATATATTTATGTTTGTCACAGAATCAAAATTTGGCCAGTTTTCCTATATATATGTAATGGGCTTTGTGGTAACAGGACTGAGTGGAGTCCAATTTGGTCTCTATTCATACGATTGATCAACAAAATCGGACGACCGCGTCATGGGAGTCCAATTTGTTTAATCACAAGTATGATTACAGACCGAATTGGACGACACAAAGTTCTGTTAGGAATTAATCATAACTTTAACAAACTGTCACTGTGATATATATACGGCTCTTTTTAAAATCAAAACGCAAGAAATTCCAATATTTTCTTGCTAGCAATGAAAACAAAAGCTATTTAAGCATGCGTGTGATGGCGCATACTGTCCAATTACTTAGGCATGACACGTACTGAAATCAGGGCAGTTGATAACCAATCAGATTTGAGCATTTTGTTATAGTTTTGATTAAGAACATAACTGATGATATACTTTGGTGAACATCTCATTTTATATCAACTTTTGTGAATTGTTGGAAGCTGACCTAATATGACAATGATCAGGCATCCTTCGGGTCAGCATTGATCAGCCTTCGAACTACTGGGCCCAGTAGTGCACTATTCCAAGTGGTAACCCAGATGTTTTTGTGGGTTTGGTGCATTTCTAATTTAGGACTCAATCTTTTCCACTTTTCAAGTAAAAGAACTTGACACTTGAGGATTACCTTTTGAAAGAGTTTTACAATGAGGTATTTTAATGATGTTTCAGCACTGCTGGGAATGCATCCTATGTCATTGGCACACTAGCAGAGACAGATTTGGGTAAGAGAAGGATTGTACAAATATGCACAGACAAAGGTGATCAAGCCAAGAAAATCTTACCAGCACTGACCAATATGCTGGATATGGTTGACACAGAAACTGTCATGAATGCTGCAGGGACCATGGGTACCTTGGTAGGATTAAAATTCATTCACTCTGATATTTTATGGCAAGATAATATTTTTTGTAATTCTTTATTTAAAATCTTTGGACCAAATTATGATGTGTTAGTGTTAAAATGAACCATTTTTGTAGAACTTTTGCTTAGTATAAATATTTACAAATACTGATCAAAAGTTAAAGTTACCAAATCAATAGTTGTGTGGATAGGATCATTAAGAGTATAAACTAGAATTCCTAACACTAAAGAAACATTTATTGTTATATCTTTGAACAAGGCTGAAGATGGTGAGTGTCGACTGTGGATGCTGAAAGAGGACTGTTTAGATGAGGCCATTGTAAAGCTTACGCATCTGCTCTCTTCTAAAGATATGTGTACAGCAAGCAATGCTGCTTTGGTTTTAGCCAGGTGTTTTGCAATTTTTATACTTAATAGGTTATAACACTGAATATAAGACAGTGAAAAAGATGGTCAACAGAAACAAAAAAAAATTCACAGCTACCAATGCAACAGATCATAGTTTTTTCTTTTCATAAAAGTCCACTTTAGTAATGTGTTAGATTTCGATTTTATGGTGAGATACTGAACAGACAATGGCTTTGACTATATGTAGGTTCAAAAAACATTTGGGGCAAATTTCCAGAAATTTTTCTGGTAGGTGTTTGTAGCAATAAGTAATGTTGTATTAACACAGTAAGATTGTTTTCTGCCTTTATTATCATTCTCCTATTGTTGTGCCTGGTGTTAGTGGACAAAACACTGAACCCCAGGTCAAGAAATACCCCCATGAACTACCCAAGTTTGGAGATTAGGGTAAGGAAACTGAGAATCAAGTTTTAGGTCAGTGTTCCCAGCACAGTGACCCTAAATGGAACCTGATTCACTCAGTTTCCTAACCCTAATCACTAAACTTCAGCGTTGTAGTTTAGTTTATTAGGTAGTCCATATGGGTAGCTATAATCCATAGGTGTAGTCCATGTATGGACTACGGGTCAGTGTTTTTCCACCACCAGGTATTAGTGTTATGTACAGTTGTAGCAAAATATAAAATAAAGTTAATGTAGTAAGACAGTAGCGCTCAGTAGTTTGCAAAGTTTACATAGTTTGTTTAGTAATTAATTTACCCGAGTGTAAGAACCATCGGTAGTGCCTATATCATAATATAGTATGCTGTCTGTTCATGCTTCCAGGATTATACAGTCATGTAGTGAAATAGATGTACAGTTATTTTAATGGGATTAATGGGATTTCTTTTCATAATTTTATACATCACAGGCTTACAATCGCTGAAGAAGGATGTGCTAGAATTTTAAACCATCGAAGTTCCAGTCATATACTGGTGCAACTGACAAGAGCATTAGGCAATGATGAGACAGGTACAGCACAATAATTAGGCGATGAAGCTACTGTGGGTATTTTTAAAGCTTTTTTGTGTGTTCTCAAAAAATTCTTTTTTTAATTTTTATGCTCACAATAATAGTTATATATTTGTCAATTTTTTGGTTATCCTCTCTTTCAGTTAACAATATTATTGTGATATATCTGATGCCAAAAGGGAGTAAAATCAAACTGGATGTTTTCATTAATTTTGAAAAATTACCAGTGTTTTTTAATTCTTAACATAATCATTTTGCTGAAGATTCCATACACTATTGCTCTGTTATTAACCCTGTTAAATTACAACAGGACGGGGCATGAATGCAGCATTTGCCATTGGAAGACTGTGTGATTTTGAAGCTGGCTGTAAGAGAATGTTATTTCTAAAAACATCTGAATTGATGGTAAGTACTTGTTATCAAATGAATGTTTTTGTATGTTGATGTTGTTAAGCAACTGACATTGCTGGTTAGCAGCATTACTTATTTGAATGGGTTCTTTCCAGTGCAAAGAACCCCTTAAAATCGCTAGCTGGTAAATCCTGTAACTTGTCAAAAGTGGAAAAACCGTACTAGAAGGGTCTATTTTAACAAAAAGACTAGAAGGGCCCTCCTGTGCACTTATTCTTACTAAGCCAGCTCCAGAAGCCATGTGAGTATCCTGCTTCTAAAAAAACCTGGGGGAGAGGGGGAATTTGGGAGAACTCAATCTATTTTTGAACACAGTCCTGAGAGCTGCTGGGAGTTTGAAACTCTAATATATTATCCTGTATCATGAAAAGTAACAGCTGCAAAATATCTGGTCATGTGCAGGATAACAGCCTCTATTGCAGAACCTTGTTCACGATAAAGGACATTATTCTTTCTTTCATTCTCCCTTGTAACTGGCTAAATAAATGTATCAGTCTTCAGATTCAACTATACCCTGTAGGATTGGTTCGGACAATGATTAGGACAGACTCAATTAAATTATATACCCTGTCCATGGTAGAGGGTCCAACAACCACACCCATTATAGTGGCATGTCCCCATATAGGCCATGAATTGTGAGACTCCCCACACCACCTCTCTCCAAGACCTCTGACTGCCCAGAAACATAGTTTTTATGAATAAGCAGCAAAGTTGAGGAACTGCTAGGTCATTAGTGTTTTCTCTCAGTTAGATTTAAATCTTTGAAGGACTGATCATGAATTTTGTAATTTATATTTTTTTGACAGATCAACTCACTTATTGACATGTTACATGCTAGTGATCCTGGCTGTTGCAAGAATGCTTGCTTTGCCCTCAGCTGCATAGCATCCTTAGTTCAAGGTCATCAGCGACTTCTGGAACATATTCGAATTAACAGTGTTGTAGAAATGCTCTGTTCATTGTTAGCTTCCAAGGATGAAGAAAGCATATGGTTTGCATCAATGTGAGTAAATTAATATCCCTTATTTACCTTTATTTTTCCTTTATCACCTGTTGACAGGACTGAACAAGAGCACTGGCTGTAGTTTTAAGATTAAATTGTTATAATTAATGCACTCATAGGGTTTCAAGTTATAATTTTCAATTAATTGGCTCTCTTAATTTGTAGGATGTTACATACTCTTGCTTCACAGAAAAGGGGTTGTTTGTATCTTAGGACTCAGCATAATGTTAAAAATTCATTAGAGGTAAGTTAATACTGGGTGTGGTCATCAGTTCACTTGTGTGATAACATTACTCAGGGTTTCAGTACTGTACAACTTTATTTTGAAATTCACGCATCAATATCGCACCCTATTCTTCACTTCCACATCAGTTTACAGAGAGAGATTTGCTGCAAAAGAAAACCAAATTTTGACATGAAAAACCACTCGGTATTGAAAACCTCGAAACACATGTACACACGCTAGTGTGGAATGTTTTTTCTCACCTCCATGTGCTCAGTACAGCGTTTTTCAGCGGCCACTCTCTTTATTTAGCCTTTTGAACATTCTTTTACCCCCATACCATCCCTCCTCCGGCCTATATTCTTCCACTGATAAATAAGTGTTACAGCTGCTTAATCAGGTTGTGAGGATTGCACCTACCACTCATCAATTCAGGCAAACATTGATCATTTTGTTGGGTACATGCTGTAGGTACTTTTACAGAGACCACATCTTAAAGAGGAGACAAAAGAAGAGGCCAAGGCCACTGCAGCTATACTGGAAAAATTGCTAAAACCAAAACCACCCAATATTAAAGGTACTGGTATAATGGTATAATGAAATCATTTTTATTTTCATGTTTTGAAATACAACTCTCTAAAAAATATCCGCACAAGTTCCGCCATGAAGGGTTTCTTGGTTTGAATGTCCCAGAGTTCTTGAAATTTTAGTGTAGTTTTATATATTTGATCTTTATTTCCCTCTCCTCTTACACAATTAAGTAACCAATTTTTTGTTTGCATTTTCTCACCGTTACTAACTGGGTAAGTTTAATACTTAATACAGTCTACAGGTCAAACCTTGTCAATATGGATACATTGAGTGGCTGTAGAAAGTGTTTGTATTAACAGGGTGTCAGTATTTAACCTGGATGAATTTAGAGAAAATGTGAGAGCTTTCTTTCCCGGGAGAAAAAGCAAAAAGCCCGTAATAATGAGGTGTCCGTAAAGCAGGGTTTGATGTACCTGTTCTTGCGAATCTCCACTGACTCCCGATTGATCTTTGGATTGAATTTAAAATACTTACTGTTACTTACAAGATTCTCCATGGACTTGCTCCTGTTATAATAAAGATCTTCTTCAAAGTTACCTCTTAGCACGGGATCTTAGGTCTTAAATGAAAGATCAACTTGCTGTAACTGCTTTTAACATAAACAGTTATGGGCGTCGGGCTTTTTCTGTTGCTGTGCCGCTTCTTTGGAACAGTCTTCGTCAGCATATTAAGGGATGCTGGATCACTGGACATTTTTAAAAGACAGTTGAAAACTGTTCTTTCTAGACATGCTTTTTTCAACTGATGACTTGACTTTGGTGTCTTTATATCTTTTTTTTTATCTTTAGTTTTTGTAGTACCGGGTATTTTATTGTGGTTTTTAAATTTTTACTTTTACTGTAGTTTTTAGTTTTTTTAAACTTGTAAATAGCTCCTTTGGACCATGGGAAAGGGCACTTCATAATTGTTTCATTATTTATTTTCATTTATTATGTACCAGTGTACTGTCAACAGGTCAAAAACATTCTTGTCAACTTATTTTATGTAACTTATTTCATCAAAAACAATAATATGATTGATATAATTTTTTTATGATAAAACAGGATCTGTTCATTTCAGCAAGTAAAATAAAATTGCTGGATAGTGTTAGTTCTAGTGCTTTTACCAATTTTACTACAAATGGAGCTAATGAAATGACATCCGAGTGGAGTTAAGTGGAGGGTGGTAAATTTCAGGGAAATTGTGATCAATTAAGGGAAAGGAAATTTGCTTCGAGTTAGCAGGGAATTTGAGTTATCTGAGTTTGAGCTACCCGACTGAAATCCAAGGGAAATTGGACTCAGTTTGAGTTAGCAGGGAGTTGAGTTATCGTAGATTGAATTATCGGGGTTTTTTCTTTACTTGTATTTAAGAACAATAATATTTGGTTTTAATTTTGTAGTTGAGAGTGCTTATTGTATTATTGTAACGTGGGATGCCATTCATCCAAAGAGTGGACTTGATGTAACATATCTGCTTTTCAAAGGTAACATAGTCTTAACTTTTGGATCTTAGTCATTTTGGTGAATAGAAGAATGAATGTTTTTAGATCCTCTAAATCGGGGCTCGAAAAAAATTTGAATTCCAGCTTGTCCTTTAAGCAAGAATAGAAGGTTTCACATTTTTCTTGCCTAGAGCCACTTATTGCTCCCTCTAAATGGTTATTAATAATGATTTTGTAAGAGGATGAGTTGTTTCGACCTTTCCCCATGCGGCAAGTTAGCTTTAAAAGTTACTTGCCCAGCAAGAAAACCCACCTGTTCCGGATTACCAGACAGGACTTTTTTCCAGCCCTGCCCTAAACTAAATAACTTTGTTATTAAAGTGGTAGTGGTGCTATCCTAGGTTATGGTATGATTTAGGTTCCTGGTCCCAGTTGTTCAAAAGCTGGATAGCGCTATCCTCCGGATAAATCACTATCCAGCAGACAAGTATTTGGGAAAGCAATAAATAATGCATTGTCTCCTGGAGAGAGATATATTCATACAGTGCGTAGTGCTATTCACCTTTTGAACAACTAGGCCGGTATGCTAGCTGAGTTACTGTATTATTTTTGATGTGGGTTGTGGTTGTGAACCCTGATTTGGAGGATCTAAAAAACATTCCATTACAGAAACGCGCCCATTCAAAAACGTCGATCGTGAAAATGCAAATAAGTGAAAAATGACGTTAATTTAGTGTCAATCAAGAAATCCCCTGGGTATATCCCTTTCCTGGTTATTGTTCCTGCTCAGACATCCGCATTTGCCTATTCTTCGATGAAGAATAGAACTTCACACGACTAACAATAGCTCAGTCTGTTTAAAAACTTTCTAAATTTACTCCGAATTAGCATGTGACTTTTTGCTGTTAAATGCTTCAAAATTGAAAAATCCTCGATGATTGTTGTTGATTTTGCCGTAAATAATTCAATGCACTGACTTAAAATGAATTTTTACCTTTTACAAACTTCTTGGTGTTCGAATCGATCGATGAAATATGAGCGCAACCGATGCGTTAATAGTTTGTTTACATTTTGTCACGGGTTTTGGATAATATTATAAACCTTAAAATTTATGGGCAAATTCGCAATAAAGCACTCTCACTTACATTCTTCATTTAAGATATTGATTTTAGCAAAGTATAAGGCAAAATTAAGAGCGATACTTTCTTTAAGAACGCTATAACTACATATTTAACGGCCAAACCTAAACAGCGATCTAATCCGTTTCTTGAAGACAACTACAATACCGCTTCTGATAATAATATTTATAAACGCTGCAAACATTTTTATCCAATCTTATCGAGTGATTTTCGTGATGAGTTTTTAAGTGAAGAATACTTTAGTTTCTGATTAGCTTTAACTGTTTTGCCATCAAAACGATTCGCACGAGACTACCAAATTCGCGAGGGTTTTATGTTAGTGCACGAGGAAGAAAAATGCTTCTCTTTGCATAAACTTGAAGCACTGACAAAGACATTCCAACACTTAAAACAATGGCAACCTACTTCTATTGTTTCTGCATTGTCTCTTGAAAGTGTGAGAATAGTTAACCGCTATGAAGTTCATAAGAGACCAAAAACGACGGTAGTCTTTGAAACTTCGTTTTTGCTCGCAAAGCCTAATGGGTACCCCACTTTTCACGGGCGACGTTTTTCAATGGGCGCGTTTCTGTAATGATTCCACTGCAGCACCTTAGTTATGGAACACTACCCCAGAATAGATCAAAAATGTGGACAGTGTTGCTACATTTAAAACAAAACTTGAAACATTGCTATTCAGGAAATGTTTCAATTGATTCTCATGCTTAACATTTTAGGATTTTTTAAAGTTTTACGATACTTGGTAATTGATTTTCATGCCTAACATTTTAGGATTTTTAAAGTTTTAGAATTTATTAGGTTTTTTAAAGTTTTACAAACATAACATTTTAGGATTTTTTAAAGTTTTACAGTACTTGATGTATAATGTCACAATTGATTTTCATGCTTAACATTTTAGGATTTTTAAAGTTTTACAATACTTGATGTATGATGTCACATAGGCTAGAAATGTAATGATCTTTAATAGGCTTTCGTAATGTAAAGTGCATTATTATTATTATTATTATTTATTATACTGACAAGGCTTTCACTCCCAAGAGTGGTCTGTGTATAAAACCCAAGAAAAAAACCTGCTTTCTTATACACTATTTTTTGTATTATTAAAATAATTATTTCACAGATGGAGTAACAGTGTATTCGGGTTCAAGAACCAGTTACATAGCAAATGATCTCACACCAGTCACAAGATATAGCTTCTATCTTCAAGCGTCTACAGAGGGTGATGACAGTCCTTTTAGTAATGTTGTATCTGTTGTTACTCCAGAATCAGGTACGTTTTGTGATCAGTAGGGTACACTTTCTTCTTATGGAGACCATAACTTGCTATAGATATCTTAATAACACCTATAGCACAGCTCTTTAAAATAATTGCTAAAGTATCCTGGCAACTTTCTGAAGATCTCTGGGTGTACTCACAGAATAGCCAAATATGCATGTAAAGCAGACAATAGGCATAGCACATGCCTTCGCCTTACAATTTCATTGGTAAATGTTTGTTTTTGGAAGAAATTGGAACTTTGTTCTGGTGGCCCAAAGAAGAATAGTATTTGCATTTGGTGGTTATAGATAAGAGTAAGAGGTTCTCTTTTATTACAAGGGACTCATGGGATTTCTTCTTAGTCCTACAATACGGTAAACTGCTGCTTATAATTTTGCACAGTTTTTAAGAATTTATGTTATCTTTCTTCTCTGATGAGATGCTACATGTGTTCTCAAAGTGAAATGTCAATGTTTTCTGTTTTTCGTCAGCTAGCACAAAGAATAAAACTCCCATCACTGACTACCTACAAGACATTTTTTGGCATTGTTGATCTTATCTATTTTCATGGCACATGTCACAAACGTCAACCTACATGTACTCCGTACAGACTTGCCAGCTATATAAGTACTGTTTGTTATCGCTCAAGGAAATTTGATAGCATCCATCAGGGCTTGAAAAAAGTCTCATACTGTAGTCTGTGACAAGTAGATTTTCTTGCTGGGGAAGTCAAGCATCACTGGCCCGGGGCAGGAAAGCAAAATGTGGAGCTTCTTGCCCAAAGGACAAGCTGAATTTCAAGTTTTTTTCTAGTACTTATCCATGTCCAAAAGTCATGGGTCTAGAACCCTCTTATGAGTAAGCCTAACTGTAAGTTATGTTTATTGTAACCTCCTTTTAACTCTTTGTTTTAGTTCCTAGTGCACCCCAGTGCCTCAGAGTCTTAAGCAAATCAACATCTCAGATAAAGATTATTTGGGAACCACCAGCTACATCCAATGGAGTACTGAGAGGATATCAGATTGTTGCAAGAGGTGCAGTGATAGACAGACACAAATTCGTTGGGTAAACCCGTCTGAAAGGGTCACAGTAATCAGTAACATTACTTGCATGTGTCTTCAATATTTAAGATTGTGTCTGTGAATATTATTTGTGTGAGGCAGAGTTTACCAGACATTTACAAGCTTCTTCCTAAAAGAAATACATCATTGCTATTTAAATCAGGGATTTGAGTCTGAGAGGGATTTTTTGTTTTCTGTAGGTAAGACATCCAGTCTTGAAGTTCATGAGAATTACTTTATTTTATCCAGTGTGCCTCCTGATACAGAATGTACTTTTCAGGTTAGTTTAAACTGTCTAGTATGGTTAATTAAGCAGTAGGCTAAAGTTCTATTGAGTATGGAAGGAGCAAGCCTGCTGCAGTGATGAGAGAACTCGTGCATGAAGTGGTGCAGGTATGAATCCGAGAGATGATGCCATATGTGGGTTGAGTTTGGGCTTTCTTCTTTGCTCCAAAAGGGTTTTCTTCACATGCTTCAGTTTTTCCGTCCCCTAGAAAACCAACTTGGTGGTCGAGGGATATTGAAAGAACATACGGAAATAATACCTTACAAGTCACACAATTATAGTTGCCTATTATCAACTCAAACACTTAAAAAGGGTAAATGCAGTATATATTTTTATTATCTTCATAGGTGTTTGCTATGACAAGTAAGGGCCGTGGAGAACCAGCAGTGGTAACTGCAAGTACAGATGACTTAGGTTAGTGAGTATAACCACCAAGCATTTACTGAGGACAAGTCTGGCACTTACTAAACAATAATTATTATGGTGGAAGCAATAAAATACCAAAAAAGCCAAAAAAGGAGCACAGATAAAAAAATGCATTGCACTTAGGTAAACTTGAAAAAGAGTGGCCCGCAGTTTCAAATTTGTCTCAAATCAAGTATCTTGTGTGAAAGTGTGACTTACAATGCTCTGGAATCAACTATTTTTGTTTGCTCGGGATTTTATCCATTAATTAAAGTTGTTTCTTTCACCAGCATGTTTAAGCTGATAAAATTAGTCTAAGTCACTATAGTTACTGTAACTTAATAATCTTCTTCTCCTTGATGTCCTGACTCCAGCATCGCGTATACACAATCATAATACAAGATTTGTCAGTAATCTGAATTATTTTAGGCCAAGAGTATCCACCAACTTAGGTAAGACATCCTTTAAATTCTCTGCTCCAAAAATCTGGGAGACTGTACCGCCTGGTTTCAAGTGTCAGCCATATGATAAGTTTAGGACAGAATGGAAGTCCTATCTTCTAACCAACCAAATCTGACCTTGCTTATATGTTCTATCACTGATATTATCTGAGATTTTATTTCCTCTCTTTACTGCTGCTGATTATCTGAACATGACAGTGTCCAGTGAGAAAGCTCTTGCTACTTTGGACATTGTACACAAATGAACTTAATGTCTTTTAGTCAATCATTATTTATCAGCTACTTTATTTTCCTACCTATGTACACTTGTGTAAATATCTTATATAGTGAGAAATATAGAATTAAATTGAATTGAATTGAACTTTGCATTATTTATTTCTTCATTCCATTGTTCCAATAAATTATATGAAATTTATATGTTTATCATTTCATCCCCACCTTTCCTGGGTATACTACCCAGCGATTCAATGACCAGCTCCCACTTGGCTTGCTAGCTCAACTGGTTAGAGAGCTACCGACTCAGGTATTGCAGTAGTCAGGGTTCGAATCCCTGCAGCAAGTCTAAATTTTTTCAGGCTTTCTTTTCACAAGAGCATAAGTTGCATCTTAAACTGTGATGATCCTCTTTGCATTTATTTGTAACTTAATCAAACTGCTTAAAGCATTTGACCCAAGTTTCAACTCAATAACTGTTATATTGTTCTTTTTATCTCTTCTTTTTAGCATCTCATGCTCCTCCCAAACCAGTTGTACAGGTGCTTGGCCGGCATGAAATGTTGATCAGTTGGGAGAGTCCTCCTAAACCACTTGGCAGAATTAACAGTTTTGAAGTCAGGGTTGATGGCATGGTATGACATTTTTCTCAGTCTTGAGTAGCTGAGAGTAGTCTGTAGTGTTTTAAGTTAGTTAAAGTCTTAACACGGTGAAGAACTAGTGTACTGCTATTTTGGCATGGTATGACATTTTTCTCAGTCTTGAGTAGCTGAGAGTAGTCTGTAGTGTTTTAAGTTAGTTAAAGTCTTAACACGGTGAAGAACTAGTGTACTGCTATTTTCATTTCTTGTTGTAGAGTTCACAAACAAACTTCTGCCTTGGAATAAGAATTAAAATGAGCTCTTTGATAATGATTAACGATTATATCTTATTTTAAATTATTGAGCAGCTTTTCTGTGTGAAAATCGTTGGTGCAAAGCTACAAGTTTTCATCTGCTAATGTTTACTGCTTTGCAGAGGGAGCTGACTAGCTATTACCACCATCCTTCCTACCATTATTTTTGTTGACAGGTTAATTTTTATGTTGCAGGTGATTTACAATGGAGTAGAAAAATCCTGCACTGCTAAATCCCTCAAGCCCAATACAGAGTACACAATCACAGTAAGTTGATTTAGGACTATCCAAGGGGAGTTCATTTTGCTATGCCTACAAGACAGATTCATTTTATTGAATGAATGACTGAATGAATGACTGAATGAATGAAATGTTGTGGAGGAGAGGACAACAGACAGGCCCTCTTTACGTTACAGTGAACTCCCTTCATAGCAGACACCGTATGAATTAGTGTCGTCATTAGCGAGAGTCCATAATAGCAGGAGTTCATTTCAGTCAAGAATCTGTGATTTGTTTTTAAGTGGGATTTGGCTACTGTCTGTATTATCGGGGTGTCCGTTATAACAGGTCGTTGCAAGGCGAAAGTTGACTGTATTTATTGATATGTTAACAGTAAGCTCAGATGTCAGCATCCAAGGGTGCCTCAAGCAGCCGCTATCAGTCCATTTATCCCGAGTATCTTGTGATATTTATTGTGGAAGGGGGATTATGATGACCAATCAGTTTGTACTACACATGACACTGCTTCAACTTAAACTTGCCATTGTCATTAATAAGTTTAATCTTTAGCTGCAGGTTTGAGACAATTTAATTTTTCTTTTCTTCCAGCCTCTGAGTTGTTGGATTTTGCCGTTGATTAACACCAAAACTGAATAATGCATTATGCAAGGTCAAGCTGAGATGTCTTCTTGTTATATGCTGTAGGTCAGTGCATGGTGCAGTGAAGGGCGATGTGAAAGTGTCCCAGCCAAGAAGAGAACAGCTAGAGAAGTGTACAGTAAGAGACCACTCTGTTTGTTTGAAATAGAGCACAGTCTCTTGGTGCTGAATTTTAGTTGCTGCTATTATGCAAAACATTCTTATAATAATGTTAAAATAGGTAAACATTTTGTCATACACACACACCTCAATCATTTAGTGCAGCTCACTAACACCTCACCTACTCATACACTTCTAATGCTTCTTTGTACAACTAAGAACGAGTGAAAAACTTGAGGAAGACTTTTGTTCTTTGATCAGTAAAATTTGGATACATTCTCAAATGTGCCTATCTCCGTGCCAAGCCATTTGCTTTTTGCTGTTTGCCATAAATATGACTAACTCTCTAACCCTAACATGAGAAAAAGTTTTGACTGAGATGGCCATATTAGAAAATGCTTTTTGATGGAATATTGGTGTACTGGATTGTGAATATGAAATGTGGAGAGTCCATCGCTCGTTAACTCTTGCCTCTCTAGTATATTGATATGCATATTCATGTCTCTATACTCGATATTTTTGTAATGAGAAGAATTTGTCTTAAGAAATCGTCAACCTTAATGTTCATCCCTCCAAGTGAAAATTTTTGCTTGGTCACCATTTGGTGACCAACTCTTTAGGTTTAGGGAGACTTTTTTACAAATCAAGTTGCCAGCTTTAAAATTCTAGGTGCCATGGCGACTAAAATGGTCGCAACTTGGAGGGTTGATGTTTCTTGCAAAAACAGCAACTTTATAAGATAGAACCTCACTAGTGGGGTTGAAAGCCATCTATTTCATGGTTAGACTATGACCTCTTACTCTTGCTTTTTCTTCTGTGTTGCTAGTGGAGTATATAAGGGATTCTCTTAATTTATTAAAGAAAAGGAGTGAATTCCCATATTAACTGTGTCTGTATTGTATAATGACTGTCACATGCAAAGAATATGGATTTTGTACCTTATAACAATTTTACTGTTATGAAATTTATAAGCTAAATAACTCAATAACATGATATATATGTCAACTCATGTTTGCCTTTTCCCATTGATTATTGATTGATTGATTGATAGGCTGATTGCTGGTGTAACAATATCAATTAATTTTCTAACATTAAAGGAGCTTGCAATTGTGTGCATAATCAGTTGATGGAATAGAAATGACAGGTATTAAGTAATCAATTAATATAATTTTAATCTGACTTATAAAAATATTGATTTCCATAGTTATACTTCAGGCTTACCAACTCAACTGATTTACTTATGTCTATTGTATAGACATTTAACCATATATCTTTTGTTTTAATATAGCTTAGTCAACATTTTCCAGGTAATATACAAATAACTTCTGCAACATATATATGAAGGTCATATTTGTGTGTGTGTGTTGAACAGGTGCTTGCCTTGTCTGAATTGTATTAAATGCACTGCCTCATGTGTGAATGGTTTTCTTTCTTTATGGATATTACTGAATGATTAACTGACTTATTCTCTAATAACCCTGTATTTCTTGTATCCATAATCTTCAGCTGTTTCTATGTCTCTATCACCTGCACGACAACATGAACTCAGCAATGTTCAACTTCCTTCTATTAATCTTGTCGCTCAGTGTAAAACAGAAAACTGAAATGGAAAGTCACACCCACTAATGATTGATTCACGGATAACTTATTTTGCTCAAAGACAAGTAAATTTGCCTTGCTGCTTACAGTTGATAAATAGAGAATGCAAAGTAAAACTCAGTATGTTAGTTGCCTTAGGTACAAACCTGTGTGCCCGTCAAAGGGCCCTTAAAGCCAACTCGTGAAATGATCCCATGTGGGAACATTGTAAACACCATTTGGTGTTTTGAAAAATCGTTCAAAAAATATTGGCATGAAAAAAGTATAAACGACAATTGTCCAGAAGTAGCCTTTAACCCTTTAAGCCCCAATAGTGACGTACATCCAATTTCTCCCAAACATAACACTGCCTGATCAAACAGACAGGTCATGAGAATGAAAGAAATGATCAGCAAAGACAAAATGTTGTGATGTTAGAACAAATTCTCTCAAGCAGTACCATAAGGAATGTATTAAGAACAGTGTGGAGAAGATGCATGTTGATGGTGGGGCTTAAAGGGTTAAAGGGCATGTCACGTTATTAGCTACCATTTTAAAAAGTTGAAGCCTGTCTTCACATCAAGTTAATTCCAAAAGTAATATTGGTTCAGATTTGGTTTGTAAGACTGTATTGAGACATTGAAACTGTGTCCTGTCGTGTCAAAGATGGATTGGACATGGATTGAAACTTGAAAAAGTTGGGCCATTTTTTTCTTGAATTACTGTACAGGCAGCCCAAACTCACGTTACGAGAAAAGAGTGTAAAGTAATTTACTTACAATAGGTAACGCGTGACCTGTATGCTGCAAAGTCTCTTATTTTCGACAGTCGCCTGTGACGCGACGCTGGTGCATCCAGCAGAAAGGTCATGCGTCACCTTTGTTAAGTAAATTACTTTACACTCTTTCCAGGTAACGTGAGTTTGGGCTGCCTGTGATTACTGTAGTTAAGAAAATTTGATAAAAGATCAAAGCATTTTCTCTTTGGTGATCATCTCACTAATTCTCATAACCTTTCTTTTTGATTGTCTATTGATCTTTTTAAGAAATTTATTGTTGATCA